TATTACTGTAGTTATTAAATTTAAATTTAAGACTTTGTTTAAATAATATTTTTACTCAAATATATACTTTTATTTTATTTAGATTTTATTTAAATCAAAAAATTGAACATCAAATATGTCAAAAATCTCACTCAAATATCAAATCCCTTATCATATAAGCATGACATGGCAATATCTTGCCATCCAAGCAACCAAGCAAGTGTGTCCTAAACGACAGTTAAGCCAGGTGAGCGAGTCTCAAACGATAGTTAAGTTGGCGTAAGAAGAAGGACTTAATTGCTTTGATTGCAGAGTTCAAAGGTTTATATGCATCAATTAAAGTTTAAGGACTTAATAGTAATTCTAAAATTAGTTCAGGAGCTTAACTTATGGTTTTGCCATTTAGGGGAGTCGGAAGTTTTCTCCACACAATCAAATATTGACAATTTTGGAGAACTTTTCGTTTGAGATAACCCTTTAACATTGAATTGAAGTTTTTTGTGAAGGAAAAAAAATCGAAAATGTGTCCAACTACTATTACTAATGAACAAGTTAAATAATTTTTTATCTTGATTAAATAATTTTTTTATCAACCTTGATTAAATAATTAAGTTGCACTTTGAAAAGGCTCACTTTTGCTTTTTTATTTTTAAATTAAACAATAATAACCAATCCTTCCTGCCAGTAAGCAATCTAAATTGTTAGCTCACTCTTTTAAAAAAATAAATAATTAAATATTAAAATAATTTTAAATACATTTAAAATTTTCTTTCGCACTTTCACATTTTCCTTCATATTTATTTATTTATTTATTTTGGCTATTGTCGTATGGTGATGATGATCTATGATCTATGGAACAATAAAGGCTTAATTCAAAAAATCATTTACTAACTTTCAGTTTAATTTCAATTTCATCTATTATTTTTAAATTATTTCAATTATGTCTATTATTTTTCATATTTATTTCAATTTCATCTAGGCAGTTAAAGTTAACAGAAATCTTAACGAAAATCTTTTTAAACTTTAGTACTCTAATTATGTTTCTTTTAATCTTTTAGTCCTTAAATTTATATTCACAGTAAAAATAGTTTTTATTTTTATTTTGCTAAATGTGTTTTTCAAAAAATTGTATTACAAAGCAGACTGCTTTCAGTCCACCCTGTAAAATTATTTAAATACCCTTAATTCTATTTTTATATTATTTTTGTATGAATATTTAAATAATTTTATAAGACAGATTGTACAGAGTCTGTCCTATAAAACAGACTTACTCTTAAAAATTTTTATTCTGAACTTACTGAATTTCTCTGTCTAAATTGCAATTTATCTCTATAAACTATTTTTTAATTCATCATATTTTATTAGGATTTAAGTGTCACTTTTTTAAAACTTAAAGGACTGCTCTTTCTCCAAATCTAACGACAATCTAACGTCCTCTTTGTACGGTAGACTAATTTGAAATATTTTTCAAAGTTTCTAGATCATTTATAAATAAAACAAACTTTCTATACTAAACTCAAATTAAACTGAAAGTTAGTAGATGATTTTTTGAATTAAGCTGACAATAGATATCCTAGGAATCTTGGAAATGAATGGTCTATCAGAATAGGTAGTTTGGTAATTTTTTTTCTCTTGTAGTAGATGGGTAGGTATGGAATTAAATTTTGTTTCGCTGGCAACTTGCAGAGAACATATAGTCTAAAGGATTAAATATCAAAATCATAAGATTGCAGGTCGCCAGAGCGTTAACTACTACTGCTACATTTTTTCTTGAGAGAAAAGGAAAGGTGCATGTTTCTAGTAACGTCCTTGCACTTTCAAATTTGAACAGGCTACGCTCTCCACCAGGACCACCACTCTGTAATCAGGCTATTGG